CACAGATCCTAGATTAATTGGATATAAACAGTAGTTATTGAAGTACTCTATTCTACAATCCATCTATAACTTAAGAATCATAAGAAAATACATGCCTCCTTTTTGATACTTCCCAAGGAGTATAGAAGTATTTGTATAGAACTGCTCTTATGTATTTTGGTGGTTGAGTAGGAAATGGATTTCTCTCCTTGTGCAGAAGGTTTAAAACTATGAAAAGCATAGAATAAAAACAAATTGGTAGTTTCATTTTAATAAAATTAAGATTTGTAATAACTAAATATGTAACTTTATTAAAAAAATAAGAATACATAAGCACAATTTTCTAGAATTCCACAAAGATAATAATTTTCTATTTTCATAATAAAACCATAATTATTTCTATTCACCATGGGCAAGACAATAATTTATCCAAAAACTTCATGTACCAATATTAACACTAGTTTCCAAAACTTAAAATTTAAACTTAGAGTCAAAGAAGCAATAAATAATTCAAGAACAATATTCATTAATAAAAAAAGAAATACACTCATATCAATTTATCACACAGTTTTAAGTAAAGAAAAACATTTTCTTCTGAATTTGGCAAGATTACATGAAGTGAAGATTGGTCTGCAAGTGATAAATATCAGTTTTTAGAAAATTAATACAAAAACATTTAAACTATCAAAATATAACTGAAGAACATTTCAGTAATATAGTAAACTTCTTATTATTGTGTGTATCTAGGATAAGCTATTTAACCTGGCTCTTGGCCTTGATAGTTCTAAAACCACACACTCTTAAATACCTGAACCTCAGTAAATAGAAACAAATAGTCAGGCAAACAATGAGTTATAAGCATAAGAAGTTTTATTGATGGTGGAAAATAGTACATCTTTCAACAGAAAATTGGTTTGTCTTCTTCAGATATGATCAGTACTAAGTAATACAAGATTTATATAGTGTTACAAAGACAAAGAATTGAAAAAAAAAAGTTTTGACACACTGATATTTTCCCACAATTTCGAAATAACAGAACACAAAATCAAACATTTACTACAGGCCAAATATTGACATAATGCACATTAATAACTTTTACAAGATTAAGGAACATACTATTGCAATTTTGTATTAGCCATCCTGTAATACAATTCAAGAATTAATTTTTTTTTCCAATGATTTCCTATTGCTATATCAAAGATTACATTAAATATACCTAGTCCTAAATTACTGCTGAATAACTTGTGATATAATCAAGCTGAACAAGCTTGTAGATATAATTAAGAAACTGAAGACCTATTTAATTTCTTTAATTAAAAATTAAGGCTTCCACACAAGATTACCAAATCATATAGATTATTAGCAAATTGTTTTGTGTACTCAATTTCAGGTGTCCCCTTATAAAGCATTTAAAAACTAACAATTCAGAGAACCTTCTTGTTGCATGTTATGATAGTATAACATGTAGTTGATTTTAGTTATCCTAGCCACAAGGCTAATGAATAAAGGAATTTAGTCCCAGCTTCTTAATATAGTATATATTGTAGTTGATTTCAGTTGTCCTCTTGTAAAAGGTTTTAAACTAGGCCAACAAATTAAAAAAACCTAGACATAACTTACTCATGTAGTGTACGATGTTTTCTTGTAGTGATGTCTTTAAACGAGAACTTTTAGTTGTAGCTTCTTTTGTGTGTATAGTGTCCTTCGAAAAAGAAGGTGTGTGTGTTATTATTATTATTATAGCAAAGCCACATTGGGCTATTTGCTGTGTTCACCAAGGAGCATTGTAAATCTGTAGACTTACCACTGTCCCACCAGGGGATTTTTGGTGATGTTTCCAAATATAAATATACAATGTACTCACCCTCAGGTTGTCCTTGTAGAAGCCTGTATACAAGACTAAGAAACCAAGGATTCTGGTTGTAGCTTCCTAATGCAGCAAACCACAATTGCCAGTCTAATCTTGGCTGATGTGGTACTGAAAATAATACAATGATTATTTACAACAACATAAAAAACAAATTCTCTCGATAAAATGTTGCATTATGAAATTTATTATTTAAATCAACAATTATAATTCAAAACTTGTTTGAAACCAAAGATTCAATGACAAGGAGCTTGCAAGTCATCTATAAATATACCTGTGGTAGCTATAAAGCCCCCTGTAGTAGTAAAACTACATGTCACCTACAAATACACTCACATGGGAATTTCAGTTTGAAGCAGATATAAGTTAATTCACATGAGTCTTGAATCTATTACACAGTGAGAATAACATCCACCTCATCATTCTTGAAAATTTGAAAGTTCTCAACCCTGAGACATCAGATTAAGTTTTTTTTTAAAGCTTTTCCATTTTCAATGATCACCTAACAATAAATAATAACACCAACTCATCCCTATTGTCATTAAACTAATCACTTCCAAATTTCCAGTGTTCTTATTTGTTATCTAATTGTTTTTTAAAGATGCAGGTGTTTAAACTTACATTTAAACCTTCCTTTATAATGTTTTCTCTTAACAATATTGTTAAATATATGTCTGTTATTGTAGATTCCATTATACTGTTAATGTTTAAATATGCATTGTTTCAAGACTTTTGCGTGAATCAAAAATGTCTTGCTTAATTGCTGGTGTTGTTTTTGTGAAATTTTTGAGGTTTTAATATTGTTGATGATAAATGAAACAATTATTAAACATGTAAGTTAGCATTTTCCAACAGTGAAAATGTATATTTCCGATAGATACTTCTCCTATATAGCTTTCCTGATTCAGTGCTGCCCTCTGTATGCACAATTTTTGCTCACCACTATCCTTGAAAACTCCCCTAAAATTCTGGGTGAAATTGCTCTGTTGTTGCATGCAAATAAGCATGTGACAATGCTCCACCAATAGGAGTGCAACACACTCTCCTACCACAGCAGACTCCTTCTATACTGATTGTTTAATTATCACTTTGAGATTAGGCAAGAAAAGGCTCACTAGAAGCAGGGAGGATGGGTGGGAAGATAAGTATCTAACCAAAATGCATTTTCAGTAATGAAAAATGCTAACTGATGATGGTAATTGAAACAATTTTGAAACACGAGATAGCATTTTCCAACACTAAAAATGTATTTCTGATAGATACTTACCTTTTCTCACATATAGCTAGAATCCCACACTGAAGTAGTGGAGGGATAAGTGCAAAAGTTATCTAGGTGAACCCCCTTCAGGAAGCAACTGAAGGGAACAGAAGAGCATAGGGGACACACCCATGGGATACCACATCTCATCTGTACCAAGGTACACTCTGTGCCCATAAAGAAGTGATGTGTTGCTAAGTCTGGCAGAAAAATACAGTCCAGAATCTGAATCATAGACATGCCAACTGGCGTAGTGTGGCTAAGGTATATCAGACCATACATGGTGGGTCAACTCCAGTACAAAACCAGGTAGTACTGGGTATTTTTCATTTTAAAAAAAATTAATGATGTTTTAAATTACAGAAACCCATGTTTTAAATAAACTTTTTAAATATTGAGGTTTTTCTTCATCATTAACATTACTTCCAACTACTTAAAGAAACTACAGTATTCACACATTTTAGACACAAGTTTCTTCAAAAGTATAATTAAATATTACTTGACAAAAAAATGCTGAATGATACTTGTATAAGAGTCACACTGAGGTGTTGTATGCTGTTTATCATACATTTTTCACATTCTGAAGTTTTGCAATTCTATTATTGTTATTTCTTAGATTATCAGGCAGATGGTCGTATTGTCTGTGTACGGATGTCTCAGACCGTTCATCAAAATGGTATTTTAAATATCTCCTCAATAGGTCATCAGAACTTTACAATACTATACAGTGTTTCCTTTTATAACAATATCTATGTAATGACTGAGTCACAAGTTCTGGGAATGTCTGTGAATATCACAGCAAAAAGTTTGAATTTCTTGTTCTTCATTCTTCTGCTTCTTTTTTATCACATAACTAAAAAACCTAAAAACAATGGTGTCAAACAATTTCACCAAATTTCAAATGGAGTTTCCACTTATAAGTATTATTAATAACTAGTAGTAATTTAAAAAAAATCACAATTCTAGTGTAAACAACATTATCATTACCCCTTTAAGTTAGTTTTCTTATAGAAATTTGCTGTTCCTTTAAAAAGCTTAAGTACAGGGTGAAACAAGAATTACCAGCCAATAACAGATAATAAATATTACAGTTGGAACCTCATTATATTTAGATCTTGGTTATAAATACAACCTTTCTATGTCTATTGAAACACTGCATTAAAAAAAGTAAAGAAAAAACTTTTTGAAAAAGGAAGTAATCGTACAGATGGCTAATATCAATCCTTCAAAAACAATGCAAACAAGATAGCAGGGATGGAATTTGCATCATTCCTACATAATAGCATAGGCAAGAATTAACATATAGCTATACATACATATATTCAATCAGAATTGAGTTTAGTTTATCTTATTTTTGTCTGTTAACATTCTACTACACTGTGTGCCTATGCTATTGTGTAGGGATGATGCAAATGCCATTCCTACTGTCCTGTTTGCATTGTTTTTGAAGGATTGATATTGGCCATCTCTATATTTACTCCCTTTACTTGTTATACTATAGGGCTGGGTTTTTTGGACATTGTGTACGTGCATGTGTATATATAGTACACTTATGTAGCTAATCTTCCAACTTCATACAGAAATTCTCTGAACAGCTTACTGATAAACGGTGGTCTGATAGACATATCTCCTGGCTTATATAAGAAATGATATTCTTTCCATCCTGATGTCTTAGAGTTACTTCCTTCAATCAAAACTTCTGGTCTACCACCAACACCAGTCATTCTTTCGAAAGAAAGTGAACAATTCTTAATGTTATCACATAACAAAATCATCTATTTAAAATACAAATCACAGGGACTGTTCAATAGTGAAGTTAATTGATCAATCACAAATTCATCACAGAATTTCTACATTTTGTTTAGAACATCAGTAAGAAAGTGCAGGAAAAATTATTTGTTAACACAAGGTCTTACTCTGAAGATATCTAGAACTTTGCAAGACATAGGTTGTGTCTGGAATTTGTATTGGTTGATATGATTTGAAACTAAACTTTGCAGCAAAGACAAGAATCTTGTGAAACCTCACAAAATTTCATTGACAGAAATTTTTTTTTTAAATTGCAATATATATATATAAGCTGTCACACAAGAGTAGCTAATACTCCAGTTTAACTGTAGAGATAGAGTATTAATATCACTTAGAACAATGGTTCTCAAACATTTTTGTTCACAACCAACCTGAATTTTTTCTTTTTTTATTTCGATGGCCCACAATGGGATCCATCACTATGTTGCTGCTTCCTTTTTGTAACCTTGCAACCTTTCCACGGCCCATTTAGAACTGCTGACTTAGACATAAGTGGATAATGTATGCAATTTAAAATTTTCTTAAACATATTCTTTTTTAATGGTTTTAATGCAGCAAGAATTAAAACAAATCATATTTTATCTGCTGAGAGTGCAAATTAAAACACATATTTACAACAAATTGTAACTATCAACACAAAAAAAAAAAAAAGGAGTGACAGTAGAGACAAATATTAAAAGTAAAATACAAAACAAAATATCCTAATTGTAACTCTGAACAGATTTCTTATTCAAAAAGACTGGTCCTTATGAAAAAGTAAAACGAAATCAATAAAATAAATTATGGTTGTCAACTTTACTTTTTATTTCAAATTATTCCCAAGTTGATTTTGGTCACCAAATTCTCCAAGTTATAATGGTCTATGTTGAGTAGTTAAGCTAGACTGAATGTCAAATATTGTCTTTACAGCTACTTCTTGAAGTTCAAGAAATTTGCTATTTGTAAATCTAATATCACAAAAGAATCTGTTAGACCTAATAACTGCAGTTAAATCACATGTATTATTACAAGTGGACTTAAATATATTGTTTTATCATATTAGATACACACTTCAATTTTTCTGCCATTTAAAATAAAAAATGTCTATCTTTCTTAAAAATACTTGATTTTCTTGTGAAGTACGAAAGGCTAAGAGAGATATAAAAACTGGCTATTGCCATACATCTTTGCAGAATATGAATTATTACCAAATGTACAAATCATATAAACAAATAATGTAAAACAAAAAGTTCATTAGGTGTTACAGAAACGCATATCATATATAAAGCAGCAAGCAGTTATTATGAATAACTTCTCAAAGCACTCTACCTACATCGGTTAGAACTAAAACTTAACCCAGTAATTAAAGTACCCAATTTAAAATACCAGTCTAACTACTGGTATGCAATCATGATGTTAGAAAAATATGTAGGTTCAAGAAGTCTTGACAGAAATGAATAAAAACCCTATAACCCAAGCGCTTTCGAAAGGTGGACCTTTCTTATTCAGGGACAAACTGGGAATGGCAGTGGTATGCAATTAGACAAATTTAAAACGATTAGACTGCACTGGTTCATCAGCTGGGTACTCTTGCTGTTATCAGTATTTCCTGATGTAATAGTTTGGTTTAATGGAAAACCAAACTTATTCAACATAGCTACTATACTCAAAATGCTCTGTTTGGCAGCTTAAAGTCATAAATATATATGTGTTTTGTATCTTTACAGCATAAAACCAATCATGAAACAGAGTTAGGTAGTGATAATACAGAAGAGATTGACCAAATTTTAGTGTATGACAAACTGCACATTCGTATCTAGAACAAAGATATACCTTGAATAATTAAAACCAATACAGTATACCAAGAATTTACACCACTGTTACTAGCATTGTAACAAAACTGGATGAAACTGTGTCCATAGAGTCTAACAAAATGGTGAAAAATAACTTTACCTACATTAAAATACACAAGTAAAAGTGACAGACTGTAATCGAGTCACAAGAACTAGTGAGTATAATAATAATGTAATTAACAGTTCTAAGAAAACAGACAATCTTCATATATATGTTAGTTCCAATGTACTTTATAAGTATACAGATAAAATCCTGTTTGGGAATTTATTTACCTTCTGAATAGACCATAAGAATTTGCAATCTGAAATTTGTCAACTTTAGAATTCCAACGATGAATAATGGGCCACAATGTTTGATAACTTTGCCTATCTACCACTGTATGAGGTACCTTCAAAGAGCAAAACCAATCATAAACAAGTTTATCTTTAAGTTTCTAAAAATTGTAATATTCATTAAATAAATGTTTAGCTAACATTCATGGTAAGGTATATGTCTGAAAGAAAGAACAATCGAGTCAAAAAATGAGAGAATTTCTGTGAAAAGCTTAGTGAACCTGTACCAATTCACTAACTACTATTTATCATAAATATTTACCATAAACCCCAAGTAATGTATGATTAATAATTTCTTTATATTTCATTTTCAAGCTATGATGTTCATCCTTCTACTAATAGTTCAGTCATAACAACCTAACCCCAAAATTTATATACTTATTTCCTACACTAGTAGCAAATGAAAAATGATTACAATTATTTAACTTTTTCACCGTGGCAGCAGCATTTATTTTTTGTAAAACTGTTTAGGTAATTTGTTATGATGTTGGTTTCTGCTACATAGTTTCAAGACCATTAAAATAGGTCATTTAGGACTTCATGGCAGAATCCTCGTTTTGTGACACATTCATTCACTTTCACTGGCATTCAAAAAATCACTTTCAATTTTTGGGCCTACTTCTTTCAAATACCTAATTTATTCATCTAAATGCACTTGGGCTCTGTTATAACATGGTCCACAGGGTCCATATTGTGAGACTGCATTATAACGAGGTCCTTTCAAAAGTTAAGCCAATAGCCACATTAATGCAGAACTACAGATAAACCATCTGATCTAATGTAAAAAACAGACTTCCAGTAATAAAATGAAGACAGTCAATTCAAATAAATTCAATTTTTTCCCTCTGGTAATAAAAATTTGACCCATATTTATAGAGAAAAATTATATTCAATTAAGATGGGGAAATTTCATTGGCTAAACCTCTTAATTAGTCACGAGGCTGCCACCTCACTGGCCAGTTCTAATCTAACTACATTTTATTATGAAAAATTTATTATTAAAATAACAATGAAGGTATAACCGACAAACCAGCAGTTAACAAAGAACGCAGTTTTGCCATTTGTGGAGCATTTATACTTTAATAATGTTCCATACATCATGAAAAAGACTGGAAATACATTATGAAAGGACACATTTAAATGAAAATTTGTGGTTCAAGACAGACCAGAATTATACAAAGTTCTGTGCTATGGTGGATCCCCAGTGTATACATACATACATACAGCACACTTCTACTGGAAACCAGTATTCAAGACTTAGTAGGGACAGATCTTGGGGAATTTCCAACATCCACTGCTTTGATTTTTCTAAAATAACATGAAGGGAAACCTATAATATAAATGGAAGAATAGCTGACCCTCCCTCTTTTTCAAGATTATTATGGCTGAGTAACAATATACAGCTACAGTAATAAAGCAGTGAGTCAGAGTAAGCCCCACAATTTATCCAAATGAATGAAACTTGTTAAACTTGCAAAAGGGATGTTTTAGCTACATGCTTTAGATTGTATATGCACATAAACAAACAGATATCATGCCCAGGCCCTACTGCACAACACAGTGAAAGGGTCAACCCTTACAGACCAGATCCTCAATACCTATTAATAAAAAAAATATGACATTTAATTACAGCATCTTTGCATAAAACTAGATCCATAACTTCTACATACTTATAATGTACTGAAAAAAATAATTTCAATTTTTTGCTCTTTGTTTTGAGAAACATGAATATAGTTTATTAATGACTAAAAAAAATTACGTTTTATCACATAACTGGAAAAAAATAAATATTAGCCAAAAAACTGTCACATCATATTCCATTTACTAAACTTGTTTTATTTGATTCAGTGACACAAGTCTTGTTATTTACATTCTCATTTTAAAATCTAAACTGGTACACCTGGATAATTTTGAGTATACAAATACTACTACTATAGGATTTTAAATTATTACTTCTATTATAAAATCACACAACATTTTCAGTTACTCTTTAATTTGTACATCAAGGTACACTTAATCCACTTCTCAAACCATCACCATTAAGCATAATAGCTTTCACTGGTTATGAACATACATGTACCTGGAAAATTAAACTATTAAGAATGTAATAAATAAAATACCCAACATTGTAAAATAAGAACAAATGGCATAAAAAACAAGAAGAATTTGGTATATGAACAAAAAATTAAAATCATGACTTAATTATGCCATTTATCTTAAAGGCATTTTCAACTGTGATGATATAAATAAAAAGGAGACAAGTGTAATATACACATGAATATATTACACATAGGCCTTTACATGGTTTACTACTATCTACATATGATGATGCAAATGGACGGTTCCCAAAGTTTAAGCTTTATAATGAACAAAATCCAATTTAAACCTTTTTCTGTTTTAAAAAGGACTCATATTTTAACCATAATTTAAAAAGAATTTACCAATTCAATTTGCAACACATGAAAAAACAAACTTTTTAAAATAATCAACAGCAATTAAATCAAACTAAAACATATTACAGTATACTTCCAAAAAAGAGGGCTGACTTTTTTTGGAGTTAAGAATTTTGAACTTCCCCAGAAGAACCTGTACAATTTTCTGATCAAATTAAGTAACAAAATCTGTTAAAAACCTGTGTAGTTACATGAAGAGTTGGTCATGAGGAATATTTTCTTACTACTGTTCTTGTGATATGTACTGAAATTCAGTTTCTGAGTAATAGATCATTTTTGAATTGAAAGACTGTATTATCTAAATAGTTATAAAAAAACATAAAAAACTAGAGGAGCACTCAGTAGAACACATACCTCTGCCACGCAGCACTGATCATATTTGGCCCTCAAAAAATATAGAAATGTGTCCGTATGACTGTCATTATCAATGGACATAGACCAAATTTGGCAGGACAATGAGAAATATACATATGTCCACAAAGTTTCCCCAAAATCAGATCATTTTTCACTGAGTTCTAGAGCAAAACTACCATGAAAAATCAGTCCCCATGTTAACAGATAGGGATTTTGGATTTTCGTGACCTTGACCTTCAATAAACTAATCATTTCCAAGTTGGGTCATAGTAAAAATGTATATCAACTTTCGTCCAAACCAATTTATCCATTTTTGAGAAATCTTGCTGACAAACAACCACATACAGGGGGAAAAAATAACCTTCGATGGCAGAGGTAAAAAAGTAACATGAGTGGTAATTTAATAATGACATATTGTGAAATCTGGTTATTCTAAACAAAATATTATAAAACTAATTTGCCTTACTGAATGTTGAAGAAAAATATCCAGAAATGAGACTTACTAACATTTAATTAATCTAATGAATGTATAAAATTTGTAGATTTTGTGAAATAAAATATTAGTGGAATTACTATAATACTCTACATGAATATAACAGTATTTCTACATTTCTACATGTACGTATAAACAGATCTTGCATAAAAACTCAAAATAATACCTTGTGCTTTTCTATGAAGTTTCTTTCTTGAAATTTTAGTAACAAGTTAACTATGACATAACCATTACTTTAAACCCTTATTATTACAAATAAGTTGTTAGACAAATCTAAGATTTTAAAATATTTTTCCTCCATTTATATATATAAATAAATAATCTAGAAATTTTAATGAACTTTTTAATGATGAGTATGGTGTTTCCAAGACTAATTGAAATATCTCACTAGTAATCCAAGTAATTTGGCTCTTAAGAAGCTAGCATTATTTCTGGTGAATTAGTGGCATTCAACTGTCTGCATACTGATTTATTATTGAGTTGCTGTAAATTATTCTACTTTCATTTCACTTTTGAGCTGTGAAAACAAATGACTCATCTTGAAACAAACACAAACATATTGGATGAGGGAATCTGATTATTTCCTTAAATGTTTGAAAACACTTCAGGATTTCTTGGTATAGGATTTCTTTTCAGTTCAGAAAACACATGTAAAGACATTTTGAGACCAGTGAATATTGTTTCCAGTAAGAATAGTTCAATTACTGAGTAAATGATGCCCTCATTTCATTGATCAATACACAAGTCTATCAGTGAAAAAGTAATAAAGTTTCAATTACCAGGCTGACAGCAAATAACCAAAGTGATACGCCACTCCAAAATATTACTCCAACCATATAAAACACTTTCCTAAAATGTCCACTAGATGTTAAACATCTGAAAAAAAAAAGAAAAAGTCATACACCCAAATTATATAATGAAATCTGTTGAAGAATTAAAAAAAAAAGAAGATATATATATCATTCACAATACACTACAAAATTTATTAAAACATCTAAAAAAATGACAAAAAGAAACTTTACTAATCAGAAACACTTTAGACATTAACTATTCCAATATTTCATGTACTTCTATCCTGATATTTAAAATTTCAAATTCAACAAAAGTCTGTACATCAGAAGCTCTGGTAATACTTCCTTTTAAAGTAACACATTAGCATAAGGTATCTTTAACTCTAAAGCATTAAATTCTTATATTATAATCTACTTTTCATTTGAACATAATTCACATTATATATTACTAAAACCCTTGAGTGAACATGATCACTAGCTATCTCACCAAAATCTCTGACTAATAAGCCAACAATATTTTATTTTAGTGCATATATTTATATAAATCTGATATGTAAACATTTTGCTCTTGAGTGACATGGCATAATCACAAAAAATTGCAAAAACTCTTTAGGGTAACAATGTTTTTTTTACAGCACTCCTAAAAAAAGTTAAACTATAAGATGTAGATTATGTAGTAGTTTATTTTAATATAACAATACCTCTATCCCAGAAAACAGCAGCATGTATAATTTATTAAAGTAAAATTAGGAAATAAACAGAAAACAAGAGAGGCAAGTTAGAAATATAGGTCATTCATTCATTATTGAGATAAATAAGCTATAAAAGATGTATGCAAAACATGGTGAATATTTCTGGTTAATGTAGGTTTTATATTCATAGTACATGTACTTCATCATAATAACAGATAGGCCACATACAAACTTCTAAGTTACACATGCAAATTACACATTATGTTAATTGGTTTTATCATGACATGTAACGATTATTACCTGTACATTGCTGCTAGAATATTTGCAACAAGTGAAAGGGCTCCCAAACAAATGGTAACAGGCATTGTCTTGTTCAGAGCCGATTGAAAATCTTCAGCAGTAAAAGCTTGAAATATGATTCAAATAAACTGTTTATATTACTAACTTTGTAATATTCTAATTATTTAAAGCATAAAATGTAAACCAACTGTCATTAAAAAAGGCATTTTAAGTATGTGTTAGACTTCAACAAGGAAATTAATATAAAACATTATGAATACAACAACATAAAAAATATTTTAAATTAAAATTAAGTATTTATTTAGTGCTATGATGGATTTAAACCATATGCCAATGGATCAGTCAATTTGACTGACTTCATAACAACCATGTAACCATGAAAATATACATACTGTAACTGAATGTACTAAGTGTATCTTTACAAAGTATGGCAAGCTTTTACTAAAATGAAATTGTATGTAAAAAATTTTGATTTTAATAAAGTATTTTTACTCAAATTTATCTGTGAACTTGCATAACTTTTAATGAGACAGTCTGAGTGAAATGTGATTTTCATGCTAAGAATAAAAATATTTCTCCTCACTTTACAGTTAACATATTTCATCTGTATAACCTCTAGAACCTTCTAGATAAATATCAAAAGTTCTTTTTATGCTAACACTTTATACTTTACCTCTTATTTTCTCTACTCTAATACTAACTGTAGCAAAGTTATCAATATGCAGTAAAAGGACAAGTTGAAAAATATGAAATAAAAACACTTTTTTAGAATGACTGCAGCTTGTAACAAAGAATTACAATTACTTATCCTAACACCTTTATGCTTTTAATCTTTTACAGTTGCTTTCATTTAATTTTATTAATATCAAGTTACATCATGATACAGTAGTCCTTGTTGTTTCATGAAGAGAAATCATGAGAGCTTAGGAGAAACGAACTATTAGGTTATGTCAGGATACAGTAGTCCTTGTTGTTTCATGAAGAGAAATCATGAGAACTTAGGAGAAACGAACTATTAGGTTATGTCAGGATACAGTAGTCCTTGTTGTTTCATGAAGAGAAATCATGAGAGCTTAGGAGAAACGAACTATTAGGTTATGTCAGGATACAGTAGCTCTTGTAGTTTCATGAAGAGAAATCATGAGAGCTTAGGAGAAACAAACTATCAGGTTATGTCAGGATACAGTAGCTCTTGTAGTTTCATGAAGAGAAATCATGAGAGCTTAGGAGAAACAAACTATCAATTTACATCAGGATACAGTAGCCTTTGTAGTTTCATGAAGAGAAATCATGATAGCTTAGGAGAAACGAACTATCAAGTTACATCAGGATACAGTAGCCTTTGTAGTTTCATGAAGAGAAATGATGAGAGCTTAGGAGAAACAAACTATCAATTTACATCAGGATACAGTAGCTCATGTGGTTTCATGAAGAGAAATGATGAGAGCTTAGGAGAAACAAACTATCAAGTTACATCAGGATACAGTAGCCTTGTAGTTTCATGAAGAGAAATGATGAGAGCTTAGGAGAAACAAACTATCAATTTACATCAGGATACAGTAGCTCTTGTAGTTTCATGAAGAGAAATCATGAGAGCTTAGGAGAAACAAACTATCAATTTACATCAGGATACAGTAGCTCATGTGGCTTCATGAAGAGAAATCATGAGAAGTTTGTAATTTTTTTTCATCTAAGTTTTCTTATCAAACTTAATCAATTTGTAATTTTTACATTTAGTTACTTTTTTAAAGAAATATAACAATAAATAAAAAAAACCTATAAAAACAAGAAATTTAGCACTTACTTAGTGTTTTAGTAAGCCTATTTCTTTTTATCACTATTTTGGTTGTTCAAAAAAATAGTTAATAAAACTTTCATATATGCATTGTAGATTTTTTTGTTTATTTTAGAGCAAAGCCACAATGGGCTACCTGTTGTATCCACTGCAGGGAAATGAACCCTGGATTTTTGTGTTAAAAGCTCATACACATACTGCTGTTCTACCAGAAGACTGTATTTCAGGACACAAAAAATATAAGGCACTAGAATAGAAGGAGGTTGAATGTCAGCAAAACCTGCAAAGAAAATATATAAATTGAAATTTGCTGATTGCATAAATACTCAGCCCTCTAAGCCAGTAACTAGTGGAAGCACCTTTGGCAACAATTACTGCTACGAGTCTTTTTGGATAGGTCTCTACCAGCTTTATACAATGGGATGGTGTAATTTTTGCCCATTCTTCCTGCCAAAATTGCTCCAATTCGGATAAGTTTGTTGGAGATCTTGATGAACTGCAATCTTCAAGTCTCACTATACATTTTCCAATGGATTCAAGAAAGGACTTTGGTTGGGCCACTCCAAGACATTTATTTTCTTCTTTTGAAACCATTCCAGTGTGGCTTTAGCATTGTGCTTTGAGTCATTGTCCTGCTGCAATGTGAAGTTTCGACCCAGTTTTAGATTCTTGGCTGACTCAAGCAGGTTATCCTCTAGGATTCATCTGTACTTTGCACCATTCATCTTACCCTCATTTTTGACAAGCATCCCAGTACCTGCTGATGAGAATCATCACCATAACATGATGCTACTGCCACCACCATGCTTGACAGTTGGGATGGTGTTGACTGGATGATGTACTGTTTTGGGCTTGAATTTTGTCTCGTCTGACCAGAAAACCTTCTGCTACGTGTCTGCAGTATCATTTACATGTTCTGCCACAGACTCCATACAAGATTTTAGATTATTCTTTCTCAGTAATGGCCTCTTTCTTGCCACTTGCCCATACAGATCAGCTTTGTGTAGGGACCAGGATATTGTCAATATGTGAACTCTGACTCCCATCTCAGAGATGGAACTTTGGAAATCTTTCAAAGTCACTATTGGCCTCACAGTGGCATACCTAACTAGTTTCCGGTTTGCCTGGCTGCTTAGTTTGTAAGGGCAGCCTGATCTGGGTTGTGACTGGGTGGTATAAAGAATATTCAACTTCTTAATGATGGACTTCACCTTACTCAAAGGGATAATCAGCAACATTGAATTTTTCTTGTGACTTTCTCGTGATCTGTGCTTCTCTACCACTTTATCCATGACTTGTTTGAAAAGCTCCTTGGTCTTCATGGTTTGTTTATTGTATCATTATGTGAGTTGTGGCTGGAACAGATGCATTTACTCTCAAGTCAAGTTAAACCATTTTGATTACACATAGACAGAGACCATTACACTAGTTTTGTGACCTTTCAAATTAATCTTTTGCACCTGAACTGAATTAGGGTTGCAGTAGCAAAGATGATGAATATTTCAGCAAATGAGAATATTCTAATTTTCTTTGAAAATCTAACTTACTTACATAGCATCAGTATTTTTTTAGCTTTCTCAGTTTGAAGTAGATTTTATAGATTCTAAATATAAAGTCCAATTTGAAAGTTTCATGATTGCAAGCTCAGATGGCAACAAAAGTTAACATTTTCCTACATTGAAAATGTATTTCCAATAATACTTACCTCCTCTCAAACTTATAGCTATTACTCATCTGCCAGGGTTTCTTCCTTTGCCCATCTAAGCATTTATTCAATTTGATGATTAGCAGGGATGGGCAGGATCCCCTTATGCTTTACTTATGAGTGGTGGTCCAGCACAGTACAGTAATACCACCTGGTCAGCACCTAGGTGGTCTTATGGAACACTTCATTTCTACAGAGCCTGTTGCAACCTGTATAAAATATATTGAAGTAGTGGTTGCTAGTGCAGAATTGGTTTGATAAAAGCACACCTGCCTAGGCAACACTTGCCATAGAGTGGAATCCAGTGGAAAAAAAAAAAAAGTAAAGAACCCTGTGAAGTAGAGAGACAAGAAGTGTAACAAAAAATACTCCCTCTCTTCTTATAATCTAGCTGATGTGGTCAAAATAGCCTCAGGGGTTAGGCAAAAATCCTCAGACGTAGAAACTGCCAGATCATGTAAATAGTGTGAGATTTAAGTATTGGGAGAAATCCACATATCAGCCCACACAATATCCTCCAGCAGGCAATTCAATCGGGCAGCTAAAGGCATAGAAATGTGACAAATCTGAAGAGACATGACTCGCAGAAGTTTCCTCAACTGCAAAGATAACCCAGAATAAGCAATATGGATTAGTTTGCAAACCCACATTGCCAAGGTAACTGGGGATAAATCAAGGGAAACTGAAGGATCGCAATGATGAAAAAAAAAAAACACCAATGTCTGTCACCTCAAATGGAGTTAATGCATGCCACATAACATATCAGGGCCCTGACTGGACATAAAAAATGACTGGGGTCTGACTGGTCATATGAATTGGTGAGGGGGATTTATTCCCATCCTTGGCTGCCAGAGTCTTAGGTAGGAAGGACCTATCTGGGTGTAGAAGGACATAAGTAGAGTGATAAAAGAGTCCTGTGTACATGCATTGCAAATAACTCTGACTGATGACGTCCACAGGCCAGCAACAACAAAAAATACACTTTAATAGAAAGGTGATACATGGTACATGAGGCTAATGGCTCAAATTGATGTCAAAACAAAGCATGTAATACCACCTTAATATCTAAGTTAGGTAATTGAAAAGGTCTTTTGGGACAAAGGATGCAAAATGATTTGAGAAGGTTGGATATTATTGGGGACTCAAATAATTTCCAATGTTTAGAGTATTGAAATGTAGTCAATAAAGCTGTTTTATGTTAGGAGATAGTACATGGTGCTAGACCCTTGTCAAATAGACAAGTCAAAACACATGATATGGTTGTCACATTTGGGCAAAGTGGGTTCCATTTTCTCACATGACAACATTGTTGATAAATGTACCATTTCTTGTGATAAATATTCATTGTGGGTCTACAGAGTGATTGAAACAAATACAAGGTAACTTTAGAAGTTAAACCCTGATGCCGTGCAAAGGACTGCATAACTTCCATCCATGAAGCTTGAGCTTCAGAATGTCTAAGTGTATAATGTCGATTTGAGGTTGTCTCAACAGTGATGGCCAAAAAAGGAAGTGACAGAGGTGGGCACTTTTGAATATACTGCAGAAGAGGAAACCATGGTTGGGCTGGCCAATCCAGGGCTACTAACAGCACTCGACAAGAGGTGGATCAAACTATAACCAGAACTCTGGGTAACAGATGAATTGGTGGAAAGGCATAGAGGTCCAATACCGTCCAGTCCTGACTGAATACATCTATCAACGATGTCCCAAACCAAGAGCAAATCCACCGGAAAACCTTGCAATGATTTGCTCTCAAATTCATCACCCCCAGAACACGGTAAGCAAAGAGGCTGATATGATGGGCATGAGTCCAATAGAGAATATCCAAACTTTAAAAACAAAAATCCAGTAAAGAAGTGACGGAAATGTAAAATACCACTGTGGAACTGTCGGAGTGAAGCATGACGATTTTTCCCTTCAATAGATCTATACCTTGAGACATTATCATTTGGAGAGCAAGAAGCTCTAAAATAGTGATGTTGTCCATCTATAGACCCTGAAATTCCTGAGTATTGATGTACACAACCTATCCATGAAGTGAGGCATTTGTGAAGAGATGAATCTCGAGATGAAGGGGTGGTAGAGGAACACCTATTGTAGTATTGTTCTGATCTAACCACCACTTGAGATCTAAAATGTTGATCCCGAGTAAGGAGAATGGGCAATACAGTGGATCACTGTTCAATATCTATTAGTCGCACAGCAATCACTGAAGGAATCGCATGTGTGTTCATCCCAAAGAAATTAGAGTTTCGAGGGATGCCCACATCCCCAAAAGAGAAAGAACTATCCACGTAGTGGGAGAAGGAGACATGAGGAAGAGTATGACTGCCCATTCCATAGCATGGAGCTGGATAGGAGTCAGCTGAGCCAGACTTATATGCATGTTGAAAATACACCCAGATTGACAATGTATTGAGTCAGCATGAGAACAGATTTTTTGGCTTTGATAAAAAAGCCTATCTTGTTGGTTTCTGAAAGGAGAACCTGGGTGTGACATTCTGCCAACTGACGAGACGATGCCAGAACTAACCAGTCGTCCATATAATGGTGTATACACTGACCCAAAAAATGAAAGTGATGATAGAAAGCTCGTACGATTCTGCAGAACACATATGGTGCAGATGCTAGTTCAAAGGGCAGAACCCTGAAATGCAGAATCTGATCCTTGTGCACAAAATGTAGATAGCAGCAGGATGACTGCACAATGGGAATGTGGAGATAGGCATTGGCAACATTAAACTTTGTCATTTACAGACCTGGTGAAAAATGCCAATGTAGGGTGAGAAATACTCCATCATGAATCTGGGAGGATCTAAGAATTGGTTGAGACAAGAAAGATAAATGACTGGATGCCAGTTGCAGGTTTTTGTGTACACAGCTAATCCTGAAATCCATTTTCAAGCTTTGTTTTCAGTTAATCATATCAAATGCAGGTTATGTATACAGGTAATCTTTACATCTTCATGCTTTATTTAATCTTGATAAGATGTATAACTTCTTAAAACATTTTACTACAATCAAAATAAAATATGGAACATTTGTCCTCCAATAAATAAAATAATAGGCCTAAGCATCTGTTCACAGATTTTCAATTAATACCACAATACTTACCTATTTTGGAAATAATGGTCCAATCTGGTAAAAGCTGTATAGAAAATAGTTTTGCTGACCAGTATATCAGACCACCAAATATTATCAGCTCTGCACAAAGTGTCAGTAACATCCTGGTAAACTGAAGTGATCTTCCACTGTTGCTGGTAACTTTATCTGTTAAGAAAAAAAAACAAAAAATTGAGAAATACACTTAATTTTCTTAACCTAGTACCTGATGTTTTTTCAATAAATAAAACTGCTTCTCCATCATTTACTGTGATAGATTTGACCAGAAATATTAGTGTACTTCTCAGTTTATCTGTATTTTTGTCACCACTATTAATAGATCAGATGAGATTTTCCAATTTGCTCAGTACACTAGGTCTTCCTTGACCTACAAATTGTATTTTTTTTTAGACAATCTACATCTTTTTACTCAATTCTATTGGTATTCTAAACTTGAAAGGCAGGTTTGGTGTGCCTTGCCCCATGCCAATCAACAGTGTGCATTTGGTTTTGTTATCAATGGCTTGTGGGCTGAAGCTCTTCCAGGAAAATTCATGGCATGCAGCTCTCGACTTGTCGTGGAAACACTTATAGGATTGCCTGTGGCTGCTCACATCTCCAAACACAGATTCTCTGGGGTCTAACAACAAGATGAGGTAATCAGCCTTCTCAAGACACGTCTGCTCCTGTCAGTCAGTATTTATACACCTACCTGGTCATTTCTTGGGTTCATTGTCACCTATGGAATTCCATTTCTTCAGCACATTGCTAGTTGTTGACCTGAAGATGTTTAATTGTTGCGCAATAGCACGTACAGACATTTTCCCCAAATGACATCCAACTATCCTTCTCCTCTGAAACTGTTAGCTCTTTTTGTGTACTCATCATTTGGCATACAAGTTCAAAATGACTTCCAAGCAAACCACTAATCACCTTTATAGGCCAAACTATTTGCATATTTCATTCACACCCATTTCTGTGCAATCAGAGGTGTGTCCCATGACGTTTTGTAGGATAGTGTATGAGGGTCTGAAACCCCACAAGTTTCATGAAGACTTTCGCAACAGCCAAAACTTAATGTTTGGTGTGAACTCATGCACAATAGGGTTATAGGCCCATTTTTGTTTGCTGAGTGGAATGTCACAGGTGTGTGTATCTTGACATTCTGGACAATTATGTGATCTCCCAGCTGGAAGAGTTGCAACCATTCATTATTTTTCAGCAAGATGGTGCACCTACATTCCAGTGTTTGAATATACACAACTTCCTTGACAAGAACTTCCCCGAAAGATGGATTGGACATAATGAGTCAGTTCCCAGATTTAAAATTTAAGCAAACACATATTATTTCTACAACAGCATAAGGGTCAAAACTACTTTTACAGTGTCTATGTACAAGGAGATCTCTTAGTGGTGATTAAATAGTTAAATATATGTTTTTGGCAAGCATTATTAAACATGCTTAAACTTGAAACACTAAAGATACTAAGTTTCACTGTTTTAAAGATTTATTAAGGAGAAACTTACTAAGGGAAGGTTTTCCCACAAGGTTCAGCAGAAATTCATCATCCACAAGAGAAAAGCACAAAACAAGGGTCAACAGATTGAAGAAGTTGTAGTTTCCAGACAAAATGATGCACAACTGAAGCAACACCTAGAACATAATGATAAAGTATATATATATATATATATATATATATCTGCAACAGGTTACTGTAATTTTAGTGCAGTATCCGTTCTTTACGCAAAGCTGCATAGTTGCATGGGTGTTAACTCATTTTTTTAATTTCTAAATTCTGAATAAAAACTTTTACCAAAGAAAGGTTCCCATTAAAAAAGTTCAGTTTGTTTTTTTAGATAAGCTCATGATATGTTTGATTTTTTACTTAAGAGAATCTATAATACAGACTTGCACATTACTGTGTAAGTTGTATAGGAGAAAATCTAAAATTACTGGAGACTTAGGACACACATTCAGCAATTTTTACATTCATAGTTTCAATGTAGTTTAAAAACCCATTAAAAGATGTTTTTAATCTTCACAGTACAATAAACATTAAATTGAAACAGCAAATTGGTCACAAGTGTAAAATAATAAGTTCATATAATTATTAAGAATATGATTTTATATATTATGCACATTAATAGAAGACAAATATTTATCACTGTAGTCTGGAGTTTATTTATATTTCTATAATTACTTTAAAAATACAACTGGAAAGAACACACTAATAATTTCTACCTATGAATGACAAGATTAAAGTTTTGTTTTATAAATGACCAATATAGACTTTGAAGTAACAACAGGCTTCTAAGGAAGACTGTAGGTAAGAATTAATAAAGTATTTTGAAAGTTTCATCTAATTGGTTGTTAAAATTGTTTGACCAGGTTTTTAAATTTATTTTCAAAGTTATAAACAAACTTATCATTCTTAAGTGATAAGTACAGATTAAAAGAAAAAAGTAGTTTCCAGACATGATGAAAAACTGAAGCAACACCTTGTACATGTGAGGACTCCTTAAAGAAATGGTTAAATAGCTAAAAAATTCATGGAGACCATTTGGCACGAGGTTTAGCTATAATAGAAAATGGTTGAGATACTACTGGTTCCCCACATTTCAGTTTGGATTGGTAGATGTTTGAATTACTGTCTGATAAGCCTCTGTGTACATTCTTTTAGATGATTATCTAACTGGTGCTTAATACTCCCCAGATACATTAACTGATATTTGACAGAATTATATTGATACACCATGTGATGTTTGTAGCACTGACACTCAATCTTTGATATTAAAGAGACTGTTTAGTCTCAGTTGAGATTTACATACTCTTCTCAAATTTTGATCCTGAGAATAATAAGTCTTTAAAATTTTCCCTCAGTCTTTTTGTAATCTCAAAACTGTATTTCCAATGTACGGCAAAACAACAGTAGGTGATGTTTTGGACTCAATTTTTTTTTATTATCCTAGAAATGTTCATTTGGTTTAAGAAACTCTTAATTACTTTGTTTATTAACCTTGTAGAGCATGCATTTACCTTTAGAACCTTCTTAATTTTCTATGATTCCTGATAGAAAAAATTAAAAGAATCTAATAATTTATATGCCTGATTCATACAATGTCTGTCAGATTAGTTTTCAACTCTATTGGTACAAAACTACCCATGTGTCCAGTATAGGATGGTTTATGACAGTGGTCATAACAAAATTTGCCATTTTGGTTAGTTATACATGTTAAATATAAATTTTTATGGCAACGTTTGTTTACATACAGCTTAAACTCTGCAATGAGCAATATGTTGGTGTACACAAGATATTTTATATGAAAAAAGAAGAAAAAGCTTAAATGTGTGGATTCATACAAAAATATTAATTTATGTTCTATTTTTTTGTGCAGTTTGTTTTATTATTAAGCATCACTAAATTTTGTTTTATAGTTCAATTTTAGAGATTATTCCAGATGTCATAGTGATGTTTCATAATGCATTTGATAAGTCAAATTGCTGGAATTTGGTCTTGGTGTTCTTTAGTTCTTGTGTGTGTTAGCCATCTATTTAGTCCAAAGTTAACACTTCTGGTTGAACTATAAATACTATGTCAAACCCTTACTGATAATAGTGTTTGAAAATCAAATCTTTACCACTTAAGCTTGTATTTAAATAAAGCACATATGACTGCTTTTAAGTTTAAGAATTTTGTTTTCTATAAAACATTTTATGTATATGTACTTCACATTATGAATACAAATGCATTTTTTATTATTATCACCACATCTACATGTTAAAATTCTATAGAAAACTGTTACAAACAATGTCTTTAAAACAGTGAGTATACTCCTATACATAAAACTACAAATGGTCAAATACTCAGCTACACTAACTTCAATACCTGAGAATAAAAGCTGAAGATTTTTGCTGAACGAAGAGGGATAAAGAATAAAAAAGGCACACCAATTTCAATCACAAGTGTAACAGCCACTGCAAGTTTTAATAACCATGTTGGAAGGTGATGACAAAACCAGGCAAGAGCTGTTGGGATGCACTGACTTTCAAAGTGAACAGTTAGAGCTGAAAAAATTTTAAAGATTTATAGTCTGATAAGATAATAACTGTGTTACTTGATACTAACAAATACCCCATAAAAATAATAAACACCTTAAATGTAGACAGTAAATCAAGAAATAAGGACACTAGTATTAATAGTATACAATACATCTCGTGTTTATAAACACACAATACTCTATAATTCAGTTAAAATCTGTAAATTTCTAAAAGTAGTTTTGGATATTACTGAAGCTTTCAGTTGATAGCAATCATACCTGTGAGTCCCCACCATGTCGGACATAAACTGGTGAGCTTTACTACACCAGAGGCAAACATTAACCGAAACAAAAGCCACCGTAACAACCAAAAAGTTACTGTGTCATGGGGCCGGTGCGGCAAGCCAGAAAATGCTGCGTTTGACTTTGACCACTGCAAGAGTCCCAGTGGTGCAACGATGACAGTTAAAAATCCTGCTTCTAACAGTAGAATATCCCTAAATAAAACCAACAACACTTATATGAACATAACAGCATTTTTGAAAACAATAAAGTAATTTTAAAAAACTGCCGAAATGCAGTCTTGTTTTTTCTTACAAGTTGTCATGAAAGTATTTAGTTATATTGATTACATAATTAAGTGGTAACGTCCACTTCCTCAGTTATGCCACTAAATTTATTGTGATGTTATCATACTTACTTTGTCTCTGCTTGTTAGCACACTGTATAATAGTACATACATGTACAGGTACGTGCTACGGCTGTGAAACCTATGTACTGTTTATTGCTATAGTGTATGTCCTATTCTATTGATATGCAGAAAACAACTCATGTTTCATATTTTTAACACATATTTTTGTTTACTTATATTCACGTTTTTCACTTCATAAATGTTTACAATGTTGGGCATACATGTACAGTGTATATGTGACATTATAATCATATATAAACCAAAAAACATGTATACATCTCAAACTTATCAATTTCCAGCTGCAGAAAAAAAAAGACAAATTTTAAAAGTTATTTTTATTTATTTTTTAATCAACTCACTCTCTAAATACCTCTAACATTTCAAACTTACATATATTCATTAACTTTAATTTTGAGATACTGAAGTGTAGGAACAACACCTATTTAGTACAAAAACATTTTAAAATAATTATTTAACAATTTTACTGTAATTCATATGGAGTAATTTAAGTTTTAATCATTTTCTGAAAAAACTTATATTTTGCTTGAAATCATTATTTTCTTCCAAATGGTAAACTGCTTCTGTTAGTTACATACAATGTATACAATTACACCTGTGATGTAATCTCACCATATGTCAACATCTACCTTTTTTTACATGTACACCTTAGCAACTGTAACAAAATAGCATGCTACATTCATATACAGTCACAGATCCAAGTAAACTCTGAAATACAGAAGATTCAAAATAGATATTTCACAGTTAATCAACACATTGGCTTGGTAAAAAATACAACTGTTGCCTCAAAAGATTCACATTCAATACCTTACAAATACTCAACATAATACTTAGGTAATAAATAAATACAACCACTAATTCAGAACCTCACATTTAATACTTCACAATTATTCAGTACAGTACTTTGGTAACAAATAAAAATAAGCAAAAACTCAGAAGCTTCATATTTAATATTTTATGATTACAAATGAATAATATGGTAACAAATACGAACTAAAAAGCTTCATATTTGATATTTTATAAAGCTCAACACAGTACTATGGTAACAAATACTATATTATATATAGATACCTTACAATTACTCAACATGTTACATATACTACAATAAGAAATAAAAGATAAACTTGCAAGTATTTAATGTTTTATATTTCTGTTCAAACAATGTTTAACCAGAAAAAAAGATAATAATGGAAAAATAATCTAGAATATGCACAAACTCATAATAGCCTTTTTATAAAATGTATGAAGGTAGAAAAATATTTCAAAAGACTGGAAAAAATTAATATATTTTGTATAAAGCCAAACGAGATTACCAAAATTGATCAAAACTATTAAATAATGAAATTTTAAATAAAATGTTATTTAACTTTGTTCAAAGGATAACTAAAAAAAACAAAAATTAAATAACAGTGGGAAAAGACATGTACGTTTTAGAAGATATACGACTAAAGTTCCATATTATTTGGTTGTGATATATGTACACAAGAAGGTTATACCAAAAAAAGTGGCCAAGATTAGAAATAGTTCATTCACTATCAGAGAACATGGAAAAAAACACCCAAGTCACCTGATAAAACGCGAGTAAAGAAATAACCTAAACAATAAAGAGTTTCAAGAATTTTCTATTTCCTGTTTCTATCAATTTTTTTCATGATGATAAAAAGTCAATTAAATTATATTTAATAGCAATAACTTTAGTTTCAAGATTTTAATTTCCCTTTTTTTAACTGGCTGAGGAAAGATTAAAGTCACCAAATTAGACTTGTAATATGATATATAAATATATATAGTACTTGACAGTATCAAAATTGGTTAACCTACAGAATAATTCATAAACACACTGACCATAATACAATAACTTACAAGTACAGAAAAACACTTACCACTGAAACCACAAAAAGGTCTGTCCACCCTAGAATAATACATTTAATGAAAATGTAATACACGATATTCATTAATCAATAGAAAAGTTTAAACAGTGTTACACCAATTATCTGCTGTCCAATTACCCAGATCAAATTTTGAAAATTAAAAATATGTATATATTTTCTCAATAAAAAAATCACACAAATGTTAAACATGTTCTTACATACTTGGATCATGGATCACTTTGTAGCAAAGGGTATATTTTGCAGCAGAACCATCAGTTGTTACATTAGCCTTTTGAGTACAGACATGCTTTGTTTCGTTAAAATTAAAAAAAGTGTTTATGTTTTTTAAATCAAAATTGCTCTTTGCTGGGGTGAACATGTCTACTATACATAAAAGAGTGTTTTTCTCATTGAATGACAAAGTGGACATTGTGAACAAGTCATAAAAAAAAGTGAATCTGGTAAAAAGCTAGCAGAGAAATATTGTAAAATATATATTCAAGATACAATTATTTGTAATGCTCAAGATATAATTTTTAATAATGTCCAGTTATCCAGATTTCTGATTATAGTCAGTGTTATACTGTACTTGAAAAACCAATGTACATCTTGAAGCTATTGTGCCCAAATGTGTGTGTGTGTGTGTGTGTGTGTGTGTGTGTGTGTGTGTGTGTGTGTGTGTAATTATGTATATACATATACGTATAGTTAGATAGATACTGATACAGATTAATAATCAATATAAAAAATACAGTTAGCCTAAACTCTATTTTTTCTCTCTCAGTGCAATCTCATATATGAACTAATGTAGTAGAACTGTCCTAATCCATTTTTAAGCTTAACTGACCTAACAGTTTGAGTGTATAACCTATCATAAAAAATTCTAACTAGAAACCAGTAAGTTTAGTTTAATAATTCTGCTGTAATATTTTGGAAATAGCAAATAAAAATCATGTACTTGTAGCGCAAAGTTAAAAACTGCTGTGATCATCCTCGTAACAGCTCTTAGCTAGAAAACAAATTTTACAATATGAATGAAATATTAGAAAGAACTATATATATATATATATATATACTTAATATTCAGTCTTAGGGTTTTTTTTTAGTTTTAAATTGGTTGTACAATGTTAAAATCTTTGGTTTATTTAGTTTACAACATTTCACCAGGTTTATCTGCCATCATCAGGCGACAAAAAACAAATAAACTTAGGATAAGGGGAATTAATTAAAAAAAGGAATCAAATGAGAATCAATAACAATACAAGCATGTACTTAATCATGTGCTTGTAGATTAATATTGGTATCAATTTTTAAGTGATTCCTTGTCTTTTAGTTCAAAATGAACAAAGTTTTACTACATACTACTGATAAAAAACTTATGTGAAATTTTACAATAGTTTCATGAGTTAAAGACTTTTTCTTTTACTTAATATTTCAGTGTGAAATTTTACAATAGTTTCATGAGTTAAAGACTTTTTCTTTTACTTAATATTTCAGTGTGAAATTTTACAATCATTTCATCAGTTAAAGACTGTTACCTGGTATAATGAGAAATACAGTATCCATAGTAATCCGAAATTAGCACAGTCTCTAAGTCGAACCCATATCATTCCTCCAAAGGAAACTGACATGCCTACTATGCTTAATAACTCCATGAAAGTTGGCACATCAAGTCCAAATGCTGGAGCAAGCCAAAGTAATGATGGAAGTTCTTTTGCTTTCTTCTCTACTTGAGCTGTACCGGATTCTGTAAAAGGAGTGTACTTCATAGTAATATCATCAAATAGTGTATTGTGGTCTTGAAACAAGCATTTTGATTGTCATACATATACTTCAACAGGAGTTACTTGGGCATCTGAATGAAAAGTTACATAAAATGTTTCATTTCTAGATGTTGTGGAAATTCATTTGATCAATCATTCTTAAAACATATATTGTATATATAACAATGCTTATGGCTACAAATACCCTATCCAGTCATAAAACAAATCAAAATATTTTTCACCTAATGACAACACAGTATTCAAAGATTTTGTTATTTTTTCCCATTTCTTATACACATTAACCCACTTTATACCATTAGGTCATCAAGAAATTAATGTTGCTTTTTTAGATGATAAAACCCGAACAACTTATATCATCAAAACAAAACATTTATTAAATGAAATAGTGTCCATACTTAGCTATGATGCTGTTCCATCTTACAATCAGGTTGTTAATTCCCTGATTATAGAAACCACTTGGATTTGAAGCAAAAAACATGTCAATGTTCTCTTTAACACCTTCCACATTTGCTTTCCCATTAAGATG